TTATAAACGAGCTCCCCCACCCTCTGGCTTTTAACACCCTGACGATGATGGCAGCAATATAGCCATCGAAAGCTAGGTTATTTATTTATTAAACATTTAATTGTTTTACCTCCTGGTGCTCGTTTTTATCTTTTGAATATATATATATATATATATATATATATATATATATATATATATATATATATTGGCGATGTTTCGACGAAGTCCCATTCGTCATCTTCAGGCTGATATTTTTGGCTTCTGAAGATGACAAATGGGACTTCGTCGAAACGTCACCAAGACACTTCCAATTTTACGCAGGAGAAAACCTGAATAACCAAAGACACAAACACACACACACACACACACACATATACACACTTTTTTTTATAATGTTTCTGATTTTTAATATGTAAGCCAGTAAAGCAGTTTGGATTCGGGAGACCTCTAAATAAATTTAAAATAACCTAAAGTATAACTATTGTAATATTTAGAATATTTTTCTTTTGATAAATTAACAATGTTTCGTTACACAACTGACATTTTTTTTATGTGTGTGTGCACTGATTGATTATGTGAGAAAGGCAAATAATTTCTTTATTTTAAAAAATTGTTGGTGGATTAAAAATCTTTTTTTTTAATTTTTAGTGTAAAAGTATGACCCCAAATTCTTTTAAAAAAAATACTAATTACTTCTCAACCACCGATCCTGCTAAGAACTGAATATATTTTTTAAAAAATAAAAGATTAACAAGATGTGAATTCTGGCACATTTTTTTCTTACAAAAAAAAAAAAGCACTGTTTAGGAGTAATTCCCATTTATGTGATACCAGCAGACTTTTGTGAGAATAATGTGTTTGATCATTTTTTCCTGTAAACCCAAAGCCATTTTCAAGCTTATATGCTCAGTTACTTCCTTGAATCAGATAACTATGCCATTCACGGGAGTTCTCACATTTCTTGGCCCCTTTGTCTTTATTCTTTTCTCTTATTTGGAGATTGTTGTGGCAATTCTGAAAATTTACTCTGCATGTGGTAGATTAAAAGCTTTCTCTACATGTGTATCACATTTGATGGTAGTATCAATTTTCTATAACACAACAATGTTCTCGTATCTTCAAGCTTAAGCTAAGAACATGCAAGAGACAGACAAAATAGTTTCTGTTTTCTATGGAATACTTACTCCCATGTTAAACCCATTGATCTGTGCACTTAGAAATAAAAAAAGTATAGGAGCTTTACAAAAACTTACGTCAAAAACTATGAACTTATAGTTGGAGACATATTTCATATTCACATTGATGTTGTTGGTCTTCAGTAAAGCTTTATTTTTCCATTTGCAAGTGTTTTCTTGATTTATGCACATAATTTTTTATTATTCCTGTTTTCCAAGTAAATCATTCATGCTATGCCATTACTTTATTAACACATATACAAGGGTTAAATATTTAATTTTAATATTTAATACATACCATAACAGAATATACTAGGGACTAGGAGTCACATGATAGCTATGTTCCAATATCTAAGGGGCTGCCACAAAGAACAGGGGGGGTCAAGTTATTTTCCAAAGTACCTGAATGCAATGGATGGAAACTAAACAACCTAGAAGCAAACTAGAACTAAGGAGAATTTTCCTGACAGTTAGACTAATTAGTCACTGCCTCCTGAATGTATGAATACACCAACACAGGAAGTTTTTAAGAAGATGTTGGACAGCCATTTGTCTGAAATGGTTTCCTGCCAGAGCCAGGGGTTGGACTAGAAGACCTTCAAAGTCCCTTCCAATATTGTGTTATTGTGTTATTCTACCACTTTATGTCATTTTGGATAACCAGCTTTTCTTCTCAATATAAGTTTACTAGCTTTTATTCTCAATATAAATTGTTGGGGATGACTCTGTGTTGTCTGCATCTCAAACTGAAGCGCAAATGATTTCTGTAAGTCTGCATTTTTTCTAGAAATCAGTTCATACTCTCACACAATATGAAGAGTGTTTATCCCTAAGTGTATAGCTAAAAGTCTATGGCAATTCTCAGTCAACCAGTCACAACTGAAGAAGCTTCTTGGTTGAGAACTGAAAGAAAAACAAGTCCAGTTGCCTCTTGAAAAAGCACCTTTGGGACAACCATGATCTGGATGACTGAGAATCTCCATAGACGGAACAGACACTACTTTAATATTATCTAGTTGGGGATGTTTAATCTTACCTCACGCAATAGTGCAACTAAATGAAGGTAATGTTGTGAGCATATAGATGAAAGGATGGTACCAGGGGATGTTTATCTGAAAGTTAGGTGCAAAGGAATAAATGTTCTATGATTCTACCATTTTGTGCCTCATTCGTTTTCCTCAACATTTTGGATCACAGTTAAAATCCTGTGTATTCCATATAGAAAAAAAGGGAAAGGAAAGGGAAAATAAAGAAAATAAAAACTCATTGTGTCCCGTAGCCTGGGAGTAAAAAAGATCCTAAGCAATTTTAAAAAGATCATATTGGTGGGAGCAGACAGAGTCTCCAGGAGGATATTATGCCACAGGCTAGGAGCAATCAGAAGGTACTTCCTGGGTCCTATACAATAACACTTTTTAATAGATAGGACCTGGAAGATGCCCTGTGTAGCTACTAGAGCTGATAAAACATATGGAGATAGGTGGTAGCTCAACATAGCCTTTACAATGGCTAGCAATTTGAATCAAACCTGAAATCCAACTGGCAATCAGTGTAACTCATGAAGCAACAGAGACAGATGTATAGACTTTGATACACCTATCACTACCCAAACTGCTGCACTGGATAAATTAGGGATCATAGTTACAATATCTCATCCCTTGTCAACACTGATTGGAACCACAGAGAATGGATAAAATCACTTAGAAATACCGGGACCCACATTAATCCAAGAAGTTGGTCTAATAGAATATTACGGCTGACAGTATTAAAAACTACTGAGAGTTCAAAGAGTACTCAGATGAATGTATCACCTGCATCCTGACTTCACAGGTCATTGACACATGTGACCAATATTGTCTCCATTCTGGACCACAACCTAAAACCAAGTAAAATCTCCATCATTTTCCATAGAAAGGGATGTTGGAGCCCAGATAAAAATAAACATTCACCTTCAAAGAATTGATTCTTTGAGAGTGAATCTTCATTTAAATATTATGCCACCTGAAATAATTGCTCACATAGTTCTTTCATTTATAAAGTGCATAAAACAAAGCTGTAATTTGAACTTTAAAGTTTCCAGAAATATTGAAGAAACATATAACAGAAACAGAATTGTGTAACTTCTTCTTACATATACTTTTTTCTGCATATTTCTCTGCTTATTCATATAGTACAAATTAACAGTTTGGGGGAATGAGATACATACAACATTCTAATGTGTAGAATAAATAATCACCATTCATTTTTCTATTTATGTTTGGGTTCCCATAAACAGTCAAAGCATGACAGTGCCAGCAAAGTTTCATTGAAGCAATATTCTATTTCCCATTGGCCAGACAAACAGTATTAATGGGCTTGATTTGAATGCTGCAGGTAATCAGGTGCCTTTAGTAAACTTCTAGTTGTCAATTTTTCATATTGAGTTTTTCTTCTTATTGTTTTTTTTTAATGAAACATTCTTTTTTTCAGTTTCAAGTTTTTTATTGGTTGTACAATATTACATTTACATATTTGAAAAGTAGCATGGTGACTGAGCACAGTAATTCCATTACATTTAAATATCATCAGTACAAATCTCAAATTATTACAACAAACTAATTCCCTCTCTTTCCCCCCAAGATATCTACTATCATGTTCAAACCAATACAGTTCTTATTCTATTAATCAAACAAAAATACCTTTCTAAGATTCATCAATAATCTTCAGTCTATACATATCTTAATTAATTTGACATTCCATCTTTTAGACAATAACCTAGTAAGTTTTTTTAACTTTAATTTGCCATTGATATTTAAGTTTAACATTTAATCTTTATCATTTCCAGGTTTTAAATTATCCCAATTTCTTAGTCTCCTATTTCACATTTGGAGCTAATAATTTTTCTTTTCTTTTCTTCCTTCTACTTCCTCCTTTCTTCCTTTCCAGAAAGAGAAAAAAAATAAAAATAAACCACCAACATTTATACCACAAACCCATATACAAATGTAATTATTAGTACTTATACTTTTAAGTTTTACTTAACATTTGTCTCAACTCATAACAATATCTTAAATTCAAATCTTAATTATTTGTAGACATGCAGATTACATTTCATATTTAATTTTTCCAAATTTTTAATTAAACACAATTCCTTTATCCCGATTGCTCATACATTCTAATATTTGAAATACACACCTTATATATAAATTCTACCATCTATCTTATCCATCTAATGACAATATAATATTCTTATTTCAACATATTTCTAGATTTTATACGACCAACATTTTCTTTATCTCAAATCGTTACAATGTCTTGTGTTCAGAAATGTCCTTTCCTTGTTCTCTATTATCAATTTCTTTTTTTGTGTTTTCTATTGTCTGTATTTGTTGAGTATCTAAGTCTTCTGTCATAACATGTGGTTGTTTCACTTTCTCTATAGAATTCTGTATAGATAATTATTTGATTGAAGTCATAGTTTGAGTTTGTATATCTAGAGCTTGCATAGGTAGAGTTTGGATCATCACTTTTAACATACAAAGAATTTGTTCCTGTACTTCCTCTGTAGAAGAAATCCTTTCCTGTTCTCTTTCCATTGTAATATATTAAACTCAAGAAAAAGAAACTGACAGTCAGAAAGTCCACCAAATGAGTTGAATTTTGCAGATGGTGTTTCAAGATAATTTTTTATCTTATTTATTTTCAAAATTGTCAACAAATCTCTTAGAGAATAGCAAGTTACATCTTAGAGTTAGTTGGATCTTTTTAGGTTGTTGTTTTTTCCCGCTCTATTTTAAGGAAGGAAAAAAACCCAAATCTTCAATAGTAATTAGAATAAAAATCAAGGAAGAAATATATATAGAGAGAGCAGAAAGTTGCAAATCTTATAATCCACCAATTTTAGGAAATAGGATTCCAATTAAGATCTCAGTATTTATCCAATGTTTTAAACTCCCAAGTGGTTGATAGCTGCTATTTCTGGAGGGAGGGCTCGAATCTGGCTAAAAACTGTTTCAGTTATGAAGATATATATGAAACACATTAAAACATTTTCTCAAACTACAATCATTTTTACTCTTGAGAATGAGCCCTATTCAAGAGAGGTGCATTTAACCTGACATAGAAACATAAAGTGGTCTCTGTATTATTTAACATTTTTAAAGATCTCATTGGAAGGTCAATAAAACCATTTTTTGTTTTTATACCTAAAGTGTCAGTGACCTTTAGGAATTATAGTGAATATTTTCTTCATTGCTCCCTTTACTTCATTGTTCCTTAAACTATAGACAATGGGATTGACCAAAGGAGTGAGTAGAGTATAGAACAGGGAAAACAGTTTCTTTGGGTTATTCAATGAATTTAAGTTTGGTAAGACATAAACAATTATTAGGGAGCCATAGAAGCAACCTACCACTGTGAGATGAGAGGAACAAGTTGAGAATGCCTTTTGTTTTCCTTTTATGGATGGGATTCTCAAAATGTTCTTAATGATGTAAACATAAGAGGTCAAAGTTATAATAAATGGAACCAGAGTTCCTATGAAGGAGATAATGAAAGCTGTAATTTCCACCAAAGTGACATCATCACACGAGAGCCTTATCAATGGGATCAAATCACAGAAAAAATGGTTAATTTTGTTGGGTCCACAAAAACTCAGTTTAGATACAAGGTATATGATAAAACTGATAAACAACGAACCACTTATCCATGACCCAGTAATAAGCAGGATGCAAGTTTTGCTATTCATAAGCATTGCATAATGCAATGGTTTGCATATTGCTAAATAGCGGTCATAAGACATTACAGCCAGAAAATAGCATTCTGTGGTTGCAAGATATCCAAAGAAATAAAGTTGTGTGAAGCATCCTCTAATATAAATAGTGTTATCTCCACTCAGAAACCTGACCACAATCCTTGGCATGATAGTGCAACTATAGCAAGTTTCTAGGAAGGACAGGTTTCCCAGAAAAAAATACATAGGTGTGTGAAGTTTTTGGTTGACTATCACTAGAAGGACAATAAGAATATTTCCAGTCATAGTTATAAGGTAGATGAGTAGAAAGAATATAGAAAATAAAGGCTGAAATTCCCCAATGTTGAAATCCAGAAGAATAAACATCATGGGAATTGTTTGATTTTCTCCAGCTGGATTGCTTTTTACAGTCATCTAAATAAAAACAAACAGCAACAACAAATTTAAAGGAATTATTTTAAATTATCATTTTGCTAGGATTTTTGCTTGAAAAATATTGCAAAGTTAAATTGGAAGCAGTGATGCAGTTCACTGTCTTCTTATTTTAATAAATTCCAATTTATATAGACAATTAATTAATTTTCCCACTTTTGACTTGGATATAATGAGAATAAAATATTTTTCTAAAGAACTCATGTACTTAGCATATAGCTGAGGCCAATGCCAAAGAAAGAATGAATAAATTATATACTTAGCACAAACAATCACTGGATCCAAGAATCATAATTTCATTTCTCCATAATTTCATTTTACCATTTTCTGACTATTTCATAATAAAACTTATCAATTTAGAGATCTTCAGACAAATAATTTTTACAAATATGCATATCAACATCTCCACTCATCCTTTTAATTATATGGCATACTTGAAAACATATGAAAGACTTAATGGACATTTTTTTCTGTATTCATGCTAAAAACATTATGCATTATACATGCTAACATGATAACGAGAATTAAAAAAAAAAACAAATATGGTTTGCAACGGATTTGTGGATTTAATTCCATAATTCCTAACAATGGCCATGCTCACATTGGAGCCGAATGTTCCTGGAGAGCACATATCCTAGAAAAAATAGATGACTGTTTTCACTACGTATTGTTTAGAAGAATCATTAGGATCACTAAAATGGATATGACATAATAAGAAATAATATTTATGCACAGGACTATGTGGGAGACAAAATGATAAATTTTGAAAGAATTATCAGTTAGACAAGAATACTAATTTTATAATCCCCCCAAAAAATCTGCTGACAAAATGTAGAGATATATATACCACTGTAATAAAATTTGTTTTTTTTTACCTCTTGACAATGCCTCCAGCTGTTGAGATGGAAGTCTTAGAGAGAGAAACTTGATTCTTTTAATAAGTAAGTAAGTAAGTAAGTAAGTAAGTAAGTAAGTAAGTAAGTAAGTAAGTAAGTAAGTAAGTAAGTAAATTTAAGTGTTTTAAATTAAACAAATAACTCAATAAATTATTATGTGTGGGTATGTGTGTATGCATGAAAGTGTGTCTACAATTACTTAAAATCAGTATATCCTAGAAGGTTGCTAACTTACTTTTTACCAACCGCAAAATATTAAGATCATAAAGAGAACTGAAAAATAATTGTACAATGTTTTCAACATATAGCTGCTCACTACGGATGCTGTTGGAAACCATTCTGTTAATATCCATTCTGTATTGAATGCTTCAGAATATCAGTCAAGAAGATTCTTTGAAAACATGTATTTTTATGAGAAGGTAGATGAGGATATTCAGTTTCTGTTACTCAGTTTCTGTGAACTGAATAACATTCTTTTATGTTTTATTACAACATGCATGTCTATTAATCTTTAAAAAATAACAGGAAACTTCCATATCATTAGTGTTAAGTCCCAATGGGTTCATTAAATCTAAAGTTATGAAATGCCTGTCTAAAAATAAATAAATCCATTTATCAAGAGTCTACATTTGCTAGCTGTTTTATTTCTTTTTCTTTTGTATTTTCACAGATATCTCTCTGCATAGGTGCCCTGAAATAAGCTGAAATTCATTCATGTGTAAGAAGGGAGTCCATGTTTATTTTCTTATCTCCATCTCTGTATCCTTAGTGTTGTGTCCAGAGCCTGCAAAAGCTGGGACGTTGCATTGGTCCCAGGCATTCCAAAAGCTGCCCAGGACCAGACAGAGTGGCACCAGCCTTGTGCGCATGTGGAAGGCATGAAAATGCTCTGTTCCTATTGGTTGACACTGTCTGGGCTTCTGGCCATATAAAAAGGCCTGCATGCCTTTTGCTTTTGCTTGGTTGTTGTAGAAGGACAATAAAGTGTTTGTTTAGCATCGCCATTTGTCTTCATCATTTGCACGCGAACGAAGTATACAACACTGATGATGAAGGTGGAATTAGTTGCAATCTGAAACAGAAGATTTAAGGACTTACCCAGGAAGTCCTGAAGAAGGGAAGATGTCATCTGAATCAGCGTCCCAGTCTGCCAGTACAACGTCGCTGGAGGGTGAGCTCGGCTAAAGGACCCTTTTCCCAAACAGCAGCTTGCAGAGGAAGCGAGTGGTGAAGGTCGTAAAGTTTACGATGTCAAAGATTGGCCGAGTGAGTGATTTCGATGTCTCCCACCCAGAGAGATGGAATTACTACATAGCACGGGTGGAGAACTACTTCAGAGTAAATCAGATTAGAGAAGCAACTCTTTTGTGTGCCTGTAGACAAGAAGCTTTTGACATTGCAGAAAATCTGGTGCCCCTGCACCTCTGGAGTCAGTAATATATGCTGATTTGAAGAAAATGTTGAAGGAACATTTCCAGCGGAAATTATCCGTCATTGCTTGGAGGCACGTGTTCGAGTAGAGAGACCAGAGGCCAGGTGAATCTGCTGCGGACTTTATTGCGGCCTTAAGACAAGCAGCCATACCTTGTGAGTTCGAGGATCTGGAAGAGAGGCTGCGGGATCCTTTTGTCTATGGCTTAAGGAGCAGAGACTTACAACAAAAGATTTTGGCAAAAGAAGATTTCTCCTTCCAAGATGTGTTGCGAGAGATGGCAGCTGAGGAAGCAGCAGGCAGGGCTGTGAAGGCCTTGTGCCTCACCAGGAATCCTCCAGACACAGCTACCATCCATCAAGAGGACACTCGAGAAGGATCAGAAGTGGATCCTGAAGAGGAGGTCGACAGACTTTACCAGCCAGCTTAGAGGAGGCAGAAGGGACATCCAGTCAAGGACCCAGAATCTCTTCAATGCTTTGGGTGCAGAGGACGCCACAAGCGAGCTGACTGAAGTTTTCACTCTGCCATTTGCAGGACGTGTGTCAGGCAGGCCACATTGCATCCATCTGTTTGGGTTGCCAGAAGGTTCAACCTCGGGAAGAATTGCTTTAGAAAGGTAACAGGGTGGGTTTCTGCACATCATGCAGGAGCATTTTAAGAACAGGGACACACAAGCCCCTTAAGAAGAAACTTTCCATTAATGTAAGGTTGCAACGGGTTCCCTTACTGATGGAGTTTGACACAGAGTCCGCTCTTTCCATTATTTTAATTAATACCTTTAAAAGGATTTGCAGCAGTAGTGGCCTTCGAGTTAAACTCAGGCCATCAAATCTAATACTCACTGATTTTCAAAATTCTATGGTGTGTGTTAAGGGGGAGGCCACCCTTAGGGTACAGTATAAGGATTTTGAAGATTCCCTAGAAGTGGTGATTGTTGGGAGTGAACGTACAAGTCTTATTGGACTCGATTGGTTCGAAGCTCTGGGAATCCAGGTAACTCGACTGCGCAGCTTGCAAATGCTGAGTCTTGCAGAGGTTTGCAAGGAGTTTGCAGATGTGTTTAGTTCAGAGCTAGGATCCTACAAGAGGCCTCCCATTTTGCTATGGTTAGACCCAACCATTACGCCCATCAGGGTTAAGCCTAGGAGTGTACCTTTTGCCCTCAAAGGTAAGACTGATGCTAAGCTGGACAAATAGCTCCAGCAGGGCATTCTAGAACCTGTGGATTCAAGACAATGGGAAACCCCCATACTAACACCTCTAAAGGCTAATAGGGACATACGTATATGTGCAGACTATAAATGCACACTGAATAAGGTGCTGCAACAGCACGCTTATCCAATGCCTGTGGTAAGTCACATTCTGGCCTCCCTCAAGGGGCGGCACATTTTTGCGAAACTTGACCTGGCACAGGCCTATCAACAGCTATCTGTTAATGAGACAGCTGCAGAGGCCCAGATGATTGTAACTCACAGGGGGGCCTTCAAGGTCAAGAGACTGCAATTTGGGGTAAATGTAGCCCCTGGCATATTCCAAAGTGTCATGGAGAGCACACTTCGAGATATTCCTGGGGTCTGTCCCTACTTCAATGACGTCCTCATTGCTGGGGAGTCATCTCAAAATTTAGCAGAAAGATTAAGGGATGTCTTGCTTCATTTTCAAAAAGGCCTTAAACTAAAGAAGGATAAATTTAAGATAGGAGTCACCTCTACTGACTTCTTAGGATTCAGGATTGATGCTCAAGGCATTCACCCTGCTGAAACTAAATTGCAAGCTATCCAGCAGGCCCCAAGCCCTATGTCTAAGAATGAGCTGCAAGTCTTCTTGGGGCTATTAAATTTTTACCATGCATTTCTCCCACATAAAGCTGCAGTGGCAGAGCCATTACACAGGCTCTTAGACAAGCAGACTCTTTGGTAGTGGACTAAAGTTCATGACAAGAGCTTCAATGAGGTTAAGGCCTTGCTCACTTCTAATGCTTTTTTAGCACATTTCAATGAGCAACCTGCAGTTTGCATCGCATGCGATGCATCTCCTTATGGTGTGGGAGCTGTACTTATAAGGTGACCAACCATCCTCCTTTTGGAAGGACAGTCCTCCTTTTTTGAGTTCTGTCCTCCCTTGAAAAGTGTCCTCCTAAATGTCCTCCTTTTCCATATACTGTCCTCCTTTTGGGAGGACAGTCCTCCTTTTGTGAGTTCTGACCTCTCTCGAAAATGTCCTCCTAAATGTCCTCTTTTTGACGACTAATCTGCAGGGCTTTTGTTTCCTCATAGAATGCTCAGAAGGCGTTCCGGGACCTTTTTTTTAATTTTTTTTCAACTTTTGCATCTACTCCCCCTATTGGCTTTCGAAAGCCAATAGGAATTGCTGCTGAGCATGCCAAAACACCCGGGCGGCAAACTTTGCATGTGCAAGTTGCAGGAACTTGCACCCCTCACTGCTACCCAACGACACGATCTCCTACTTCTTAGTTCCAAAGATAGCTGGAGGAGACTGGAGCGGTAAGTTTCACTTGATCTTCCCTGTTCGGTTCTATGCGGGGATACACAGGGTAGGCGGTGGTGCTGGGGCGCAGCTGGGGGGGGTGGCTGCAGGACCAGAGCCGGCGTGGCTGGTGCTTTGCAAGCCGCACGGCCGGATCTACGGGGATGGGCAGGGGGGGCGGTGGTGCTGGGGGAGACTGGGGGGGCGGTGGTGCTGGAGGGCAGCTGGGGGAGCGGCTGCAGGGCCAGAGCCGGCGCGGCTGGTGCTTTGCAAGCCGTGGGGCCAGCTCTATGGGGATGGGCAGGGGGGGCGGTGGTGCTGGGGGGCGGCTGCAGGGCCGGAGCTGGCGTGGCTGGTGCTTTGCGAGCCGTAGGGCCGGTTCTCCATGGCAGGGCAGCAGTGCTTGCGGGGCGGCTGTGGGCGGGGGCGCGGCAGGCAGTTGACCTTCCATGGGCTGCGCCAGCTGGTGATCTACGCAGTGCTGACCTGCGCTGCCACCACCTCACCCTGCGCATCTACATGGCAATCCTGGAGCGCCTGGCTCACAACACCTGCCTCCGCCGCCCACCCCCGCGCAGTCCAGCCATGTAGATTTTTGGACAAGTGAGAAATCGAGATTGAATATTGATACTCTAGCTGCAGAACTTGCCATAAAATTCAATATGAAGGATATTTCTTGTTCAGATATTTCCAATATATTGTTAGAAGATGATACATTGACAAAAAATATTCATTCAATGGAAAAGTACTCATTTAAATAATTAATAGGCATGTAAGCATAATTACAATATAAAATGTTATTGTTACAAATGTTTTTATTATGAATTTATCATGTTATAGTGTATTCTGTATTATTGTTGCAATAAATACAATGTTTCTTTTATTTACGATATTTTTTCTTAAATTTATTCGTGTCCTCCTTTTTGTTGTAAAAAAGTTGGTCACCTTAGTACTTAGCCATTTGAAGGCTGATGGGAAACAGGTCCCTGTGGCCTATTACTCAAGTACTCTGTCTTCTGCAGAGTGGAATTACGCTCAAATTGACAGAGAAGCCTTGGCCATAGTGGCTGGCATTAAGAAATTTCATGATTTCTTATATGGCCGCCATTTCACGGTCTGACCATAAGCCTCTGCTGAGTTTGTTTACCACTAACAAACAGACCCCACATATCATTTCTCCTTGTATGCTGAGATGGTCCTTTTTCCTGTCAGCATATGACTACACATTAGCTCACAAACCAGGAAAAGAAATGTGTCATGCAGATGGCCTGAGCAAATTACCCCTGAACCAATTAAGGCAGATCCTGCTCCAGCCATTAATATTCTTTCCATTCAGAAGTTGTCTGAGTCTCCTCTCAATGCTATGGACGTGGCTGCAGAAACTGCCACTGATCACATGCTTACATGCGTGCTGACATGGTTGTTGTCAGGATGGCCTGACAAGTGCCCAGATACTGAGTTCCAAAGCTTCTGGCACAAGAAGCATGAGTTTTCCACTTTCAAGGGTTGCCTGTTATGGGGTAGTAGGGTAATGATCCCAGCCTCATTGAGATCTAGAATCTTGATCTCTCTGCATGAGGGACATCCGGGCATAGTCAGGATGAAAGCACTTGTGTGCAGCCATCTTGGTGGCTGGGCTCAATAAAGCTACCGAGGCCCGTGTGCATGTGTGCTAAGTGTGCCAACAGTCTCGACCTGAAATGCCTCAGGCCCCAGTACATAGGTGGGAGGAAACTCAAACCCCATGGTCTAGGGTGCATATAGATTATGCTGGGCACTTTCAGGGACAATTCTTCCTGGTTGTTGTTGATAGACATTCCAAGTGGCTAGAGGTCATTCCTGTTTCCTCCACTACTACTGCCAGGACCATGCAGGTGTTGAGAGGAATTTTTGCATCACATGGTCTTCCAGATGTTCTGGTTTCAGATAATGGCCCTCAATTTACCTCTTCTGCGTTCCAGGCTTTTCTTCAGGCCAACCTGATCCAGCATGCAACATGGGCTCCCTTCCATCCATCCTCCAATGGACTGGCAGAAAGAATGGTGTGCACCACCAAAGATGCTCTCAAGAAACTGACTTACAATAACTGGCATCGCAGGTTAGCTGATTTCCTTCTTGCACACCGCACCACACCATGCTCAGCAACAGGGAAGAACCCTGCTGAACTCTGCTGGGGTCGCCGCCTCATCACTAAACTGGACAGGATGCACCCTGACAGGGTGGCTTCACGGGTGTCACAACCATGGGCACCTAGGAGACTCCAGGTGGGCGATCCGGTTTGGGCAAGAAACTATGGGCCTGGACATCTCTGGGTCACAGTTGCGGTCTGCAAGGTCCCTGGGCCATTGTCATACAAAGTTTCCTTGGGGGATGGCCGCGTTCTTCACAGACACATAGACCAACTGCATTGGAGACTGGACTCCAATCTCTGCTCTGGGGGGGGGGAAAGGACCATAATATGCATTCTGGGTCATAATTTCCCAGGCCTAACAGGCCCACACTAGCTGCTACTGAGGCTGTTTGGGATTCATCCCAAGGTTCCGCAAGTGCTCCAAACAGGAATTCACTGGATAGGGGGTCATCCCACACATCCATAATTACTCCAGAAAGGGAGCCACACCGGGGGTATCCACAGTATTCCCATATGTCAGATAGTGCTCCAGACAGGGAAACTGACCGGGGTATCTGCAATTGCTCCCAAAAGGAAGTCACCAGCAAAGGGGGTTGCCATGGAAGCAACTCCTGACCCTGGCACCTCGGTCATGTGCTTGGGGGCCACAGAGTACTGGGGCACTTCCACTACCCAGCCCTCTCCATCTGCTAGCCTTGGGCTCAAGGGACAGTGTTCCCAAGAAGGGTCCATTGTGGACTCGGGGACTTCCACCCCTGCAAGGTATGCTGGCTTGGACTTAGAGGGTCCAGCCAGCCAGCAGCTGGGTGGGTCAACTGGGTATTTGGGGCAGCAAAGTCCTGGCCTGCCTAGTAGGCGAGCAGGTAGACCAGGCACCCTCACCAGGGTCACTGGGGATTTAGGGTAGCAACGTCCTGGTCTGCCTAGCTTGGTAGGCAAGCAGGTGGGCCAGCAGTCTCTCCAGGCCTTAGAAGGTTGCAGTGGGCCAGCTGCCCACCCAAACATCTGAGAGACTTTGTGAGGTTGCTGTCAAATCATGAGGCACCTGCTCATGAGGCCCCTGAATAAGGGGAGTAACTCGTGGGTAGATTATTTTGTATTATTTTTGATTTTGGATACATTTATTTGTATTAATAAATACTGAAGGGGTTTGCCTGAGGGCAGACTCGAGATTCCATACTCTTTGCATTTGAATAATGCAACTGTATGCCACTTTTCCCAATGCACGACGTACATGTGTGTATGCGAAGTATGTTCCATCTAGGGGGGAGGGGTGTTGTTTCCTGAGCCTGCAAAAGCAGGCTTGGGACGTTGCATTGGTCCCGGGCATTCCAAAAGCTGCCCGGGACCAGACAGAGTGGCACCGGCCTTGCGCACATGCGCAAGGCGCAAAAACGCTCTGTTCCTATTGGTTGACACTGTCCGGGCTTCTGGCCGTATAAAAAGGCCTGTGTGCCTTTTGCTTTTGCTTGGTTGTTGTAGGAGAATAAAGTGTTTGTTCATTATCGCCATGTGTCTTCATTATTCGCACGCGAACGAAGTATACAACACTTAGCATTCTTGGGTCTTCTCTAATAGATGTGATATTCAAAAGACCATATATGCTTACGAACATATTATTTCCATTCGTTTTATATATATATATATATATATATATATATAAATAAAGTTATAATAAAAGAATATTGCAAGTGTGAATATGCTTCTTCCCTTTCTCCCTTTTTGTTCATGAGAACTAGGAAAAGTCATTCTCAAATTACATATCTGCCTCAAATGTGAATTTCATTTATTTGATTGTTGTCTTAATTGTGACTCTTCTTCCTTTTCACCTTCATCCCATTGCCATTTATAAATAATGATTTTCACTATCAAGAAATATTCTGTTACAAGATACCCAAATAAATAAAGTTGTTCAAAGCAGTGATAGTGCTTTTATCTGAAACTTGGAAAGCATTAAAAAAAATATTGGAACTTTTAAGACAGCAGCATTATATTAGCCCTTAAGATGGAGGTGATGGTAGTAGCACAAAAGATACTATAATATGAAAATGGCATCCTCAAAATTGAATGAGGAGTTGCAAATTTCTTTTCAGGAAAGATTCTTCCAACTATTATGATGAACTTATTTGTAACATGGCCAATTATGGATATGTAGGCTAAGTTGCCTAGTCCTATTGCCTGGCATTCAGATATTTCTCCCCTAAATTAAGCATCTTGATTAGTTTTAATGAATATTTGTGGTAGAGAAGAAGGTGATACCAGAAGATGCATCATCAATTATCCACAATCCACTGGAACTATCTGAAGGCCTGGAGGGAAGACACAGATGCTGAGGAGGATGACATCCAAGAAAGACATCCTAATATGTTCATTTCTTCCCTGAACTCTCCAAGCTCACCAAAAATAGTTTTGTGAGATAAGAGGATCAAACTTTTCTTTGCCAAGAGAGAAGTGGAGAGTTATTGCTGTAGATTCTCACCACTTGTCCAGCAATTGATGAGTTGGGAATTGGAGCTATAGTTGTAGTGAATAAAGACCACAGCTAAAGATCTGAGAAAAACAAATCATGTATCAGTTGCATTTATCTACTGTTGTATAAAAATTGCATCACAATTTCTAGTTTAGCTGGCTTATATTTTTACATAAATGCAATATCTTGAATAGCCATTGAGTATCAGTGGGGCTAAGATATGCTCATTTATACTTTACCACCATAGGAAATATTCTGATATTGATTTTACAATAATCCCAAGTTAAATATTGGCAAAGATGATAGAATTCATGTACTGCTTCATTCCTATAATTCAATTATTACTTTTCAGTCATCTATTTTTTTTAAAAAGTCAAGACTTTTATACAATATTTTTATAGATACAAGTGCATATGCATTATGTTTAATATAATCTGAATATAATTCAACATTGTACACTTTGAAATCTCTTAAAACATTGTATGAGAACTATAAAAGGTCATTTCAAATTATAAACTTTAAGTGATACATATGATAAATATTCAATCTATCAGCAGTGAAAAAAAGAGAAAGAGAAAACTGTAAGAAAAGAAGAGAAGTAATAAAAACCCATTGAATCCACTAAATTCATTTAATCATAGAATTTAAATTATACTTTAACTATAAGTGGAAGGATATTTATACGATATGTATTAATATTCAATGTGAGTTATTTTGCTGCTGTAGTTAAAATTTGAGATAATCAGAAGTCATAGTTCTGTAGCTACCAGGAATCAAGATTGACTCAAAGACAAATATGCAAATATCCACACACACCATTAAGTATTTATAAAAATCTCTGAAATTAGCGCAGAGTATTTCTAATGATTACCTTTACCTCTCTGTTTCTCAAACTGTAAATAAAGGGATTGAGCATGGGCGTAAGAATAGAATACAGGAAAGAGAAGCTCTTATTCAGATTTTTGAATGTGTCAGTTGTTGGCACAATGTAGACAAGCATTAAAGAGCCATAGAAAATGGAGACTACAGTGAGATGGGAAGAACAAGTGGAAAATGCCTTTTGTCTCCCATTCACAGACTGGATTTTCATAATTGCTTGGATGATAAAAGCATAAGATGTGACAGTTATAAAAAATGTAGGTAGAATTCCTAAACATGATGTTACCAAAGCAACACTTTCAATCACCCAAGTGTCACTGCAAGAAAGTCGTATTAAAGGTGTGAAATCACAAAAGAAATGATCAATTTTGTATTGATTACAGAACATGAGTTGTGTCAGCAATGATGTCAAAACACTGATAAGCACAAATCCTGTTATCCATGACATTAAAACTAGCAAAACACATGTTTTGCAATTCATAAGTGTGACATAATGCAAGGGTCTACAAATGGCTAGATAACGGTCATATGACATTGCTGCCAAGAGGTAACATTCTGTAGCTGCCAGAGTGCAAAAAATGTGCATTTGTAGAATACAACTCCAAAGAGAAATTGTCTTGTTTCCCGTAAGAAAATTGGCAATCACTTTAGGTAATATAGTTGTAGTGTAGCAGATCTCCAAGAAGGATAGATTTGAAAGAAAGAAGTACATGGGAGTGTGGAGATGCTTCTCTGCCATAACCAGTGTGATGATGAGAATGTTTCCAGATACAGTTGCAATATAAATGATCAGAAATAGCAAAAAGAGGGGAGTATCCAGGTTCTTTGTGTTCCCAAATCCAAGAAGGATGAACTCTCCAATGACTGTTGCATTCTGCTGCTCTGAAGATTTCATAAGCTTCATCTAACAATTCACACGTCAGATGTTGAAGAACTCAGAATTTAGTGACTGTGTGTCTCCATGTTTCTTGCTCTATTGTATGAAATCAAATACTTTTTCAAAATAAGCATACTTATAGATATATAAGTAGATTATAATGATGGTACATAATAGATAAAGAGGCAGACAAGCGGATAGACTATCATTAAATCATATTTGCTCAAGGTCCATCAAAATCCTATAAAATTCATAGTCGTAACTAAGCCTGATATCCTTGTCTGAATTTTTTTTCTAAAGATGATTAATGAGCCAACTAATTTTGCAAATTATAAAGGGCATCTAATACATTTTAATTTAAAAATTTATAGTCTACTATACTTCAAACCTTCCCTAAAGAGATTATATTTCAATTTCAAATTTTCATTTAGTAACTAGGCACCAAATTTGGATTAATTACATGCTATTAATAATCTTACTTTTAAAAAAATCTAAATTTACTTATTTATTTGTTCAAAATTTTATGTCAAAATTTTATGGCTGATTTACAAACAACACCATAAAATAATATAAGAACATAACTAAAAACTGATGATTAAAAAGAAAAACAAGAAACCACTTTTCTATCTTCTAAACTGTAAACAGAATACCTATGGTTAATGTTTTAAAACTCCAGTTGCAGCATTCAGGATAACACAAAAAGAAAGTCTTCCAAGGTTGTGAAATTTAAAAAGAAACAATATTTAATTGGCTATAGATAAATATTATTTATATCACTCTGTATTCTCAGTGGTATAAAATAAATATCAAAACAACCAGAATAGCCCCAAGAGAAAGAGGAGGAGGATAATAAATGATAATTGGCCTAGCAGAAAGGAAGGTTTCAAAGATGAAGGGAAAGGATGGGTGGGACAGAGGAGGATTTTCCTTTTATTCTCTCCTCCTCTTTCTTTTTTATTTTTTTCAGTTTGTGCTAGATAGAGAGGATATTTCTTTATCAATGGATTTGGCATTGCTAGACTCAACATGAATGTTACAGAATTCTCCTGTTTAGAAATTCTGAGAGAGAATGATTTTTTTTAAAAAAAATATTTTTATCTTCCTCTCAATTTCACTATTCATACTTTGTTTTATATTTTTAAATGCAACACAAGACAATAATATAATATAAAATGTAATGATTGCACAGAGTGATGATAATTTAGTTAAAGCTAGAAGACCAGGAGAGAAAATCATTATTAACATCCACAACTTGTACACTGAGACATTTTTTTCTATGGGAATGCAGAGATGCTTCTCTGCCACAACCAGTGTGATGATGAAAAAAATTATAAATTTATATCACATTGAAATTTACTGTACTTTTTTTATTTAGATCCAGTGATTTCATTGGTTTATATCCCTGAACATTTCTGAATAAATCTGAATAATATCATATGAACAAACTTCAGATAATAGCTACACTATAATACCCTCCTCCCAAATATTTTGTTCTTCCAGCTAATCAGCTTCAGAATTTTATCAATATCCTAAAAAGTGACACACAGAACTGGATGGTATAATCTATGTGTGGTATACTAATTCACAATAGAGAAAAAAATTAACAGCTCTTGACCATGATACTCTATTTTTGTCAATGCAAACTCAAATTGCTTGCTTGTTTGTTTGTTTGTTTGTTTGTGCAGCTGTGATTCATCATTGGCTCATATTCATCTTACAAAACACTAAAGTACCCAGGTCCTTTTCCCATGCAATGCTGAGTAATGTGGTTCTTTACCACCAACCTGCACTCTTGGCTTTGATTATCTTCTTACCTGTGTAAAAAACTCTTCATTTGTCCCTGTTGAAATTATTTTTTTTGGGTTTTGCCTATTATTATAGCTTGTCAGGGACCCCTTGTTGGAACCTAAGGTGCTTGCTACCCTCAAACCAGAGGTGGAATTCAGTCGGTTCGCAACACTTTGGCAGAATCGGTAACTAATTTTTTTGTTGCCCAGGCCCAGAATGGACTTCCAGAAGTGGCATCTACACAGAGAACTGGTTGTTCACATATTTGAATCCCACCACTGCCTTCAACTCTTTGTCATCTGCATTTGAATTATCATATTTTTGTCTTTAATTGCTGTTCCAGGGTTGTGCCACATATCAAAATTAACAGCCTATGATTGCAGGTCCGTGTGCTCCAGGTTTACCTCCACGAACCTCTCAACAGCTCTTAAATATCACTTGTCTAATTCAACAGATGAAAAATAATAAAAATAAAATAATACATGGAAAAAGATAAACCCTAACCATATCTTTATTTAATTTTGATTGCCATTTTTTCTCCTCTCAATTGTTCTGCTCATTATGTTCTTTTTATAGAAAGGAAAGCAGTTGTCAGTTGAAAATTAAGAGAGGCCAGCAGAAGATAAATTGTTCAAAGTTGGTCTTTGATAGTTAGCACCTTGGACTGAAAACTGGCAAATCACTACTATCACATCTCAATCTAGCAGAATTTTCTTAAAACACTTTAGAATCAAATTCTAAAGCTTTAAGAGCAAATAAACAAACAAAAAAAACCACAGAAGAAATAATAGTCTCCTTAAATACCCAATAATGTTAGAAAGATGCTAGTATTACTATGATATCAAGTACAATAGATGCAGTTTTCTGTGATATATAATCAATGAAGGTAGAATCTGTTACTCATTAATATTTCATAATGCAGTGGTTTGAAATTGACAGGTGACAAATTGCAAAACTTTACGGTTAAAAAGTGATATCCCATGAACCAAACGAACCAAAAGAGGTACCAACTGGATTGAATAGAAATTTACTGAATATTTATTTCTCCAATAATAAATAAATTAATATATTTATGTCTGAGGGGAAAACTGTTTCTAGAAATCATTTGAAATAGAATGATTAAATATGTACAATGAAAACATTTTCAAACTGTATCTCTTGATGTTAATGAGATTCAGAAAATTTCCCATATTTGAAGAATTCTTTTCTAAGGATTTCTTTTATGTCTTTATTCCGTAGACTGTAAATGAAGGGATTGACAATGGGGGTAAGAACAGTATATACAAAAGAAAAGCCCTTTTTCATATATTCAAATTTTCCATTGGTTGGCAAAATGTAAACAAACATTAAGGACCCATAAAAAATACAAACTACAGTGAGATGGGAAGAACAAGTGGAAAATGCCTTTTTTCTCCCATCCACAGATGGTATTTTCAGAATTGCTATAATAATAAGTGCATAGGATGAAAGAGTTATGAAAAATGTAGATAGAAGTCCTACAGATGATGTTATCAAAGCAACACTTTCAATCATCCAAGTGTCACTGCAAGAAAGTCTTACCAGGGGTGTGAAATCACAAAAGAAATGGTCAATTTTGTATTGATTACAGAACGTGAGTTGTGTCAGGAAGGTCGTTAAAATTGTGATAAGAAATGAACCATTTATCCAAGATATAATAACTAGCAAGATACATGTTTTGTTATTCATAATAAGGACATAATGCAAGGGTCTACATATGGCTAAATAACGATCAAATGACATTGCTGCCAAGAGGTAACACTCTGTAGCTCCCAGAGTGCAAAAGAAATGCATCTGTAAAATACAGCCCCAAAGAGAAATTGTTTTCTTTCCAGGAAGAAAAGTGGCCAGCATTTTAGGTATTATAACTGAGGTGTAGCATATCTCCAAGTAGGAAAGATTAGAAAGGAAGAAGTACATAGGAGTGTGGAGATGTTTTTCCATCACAACCAATGTAATTATGAGAAGGTTCCCAGATAATGTTACAATATAAATTATTAGAAATAATATGAAGAGGAGAGGATTAAAGTGTTTAGTGTTCCCAAATCCAAGAAGGATGAACTCCTTTATCCTTGATGTATTCTGCCATTCTGAAGATTTTTCAAGCTGCATCTATTAATATAAGATATCAGGCATTAACTATCTGGAAGTATATGGACCATATACAGTAAGCATACTGAAATATCTATCAGTTTTGTTTAAAGTCAGAACTTGCTGAATTTTGTCAAACTAGTTTTGCACATATATTCACTTTTCATAAGCTATAACAAAATTTGCATAGATTCCACAAACAAATATAGAACATTCAGATAAGACCAACTGAAGTTATGACAAACTGTTAGTCAGGACTACATTGATTTCTTTGTTTGGAAATATTTCCCCCAAATGGAATTAATGGACCAGATTATCTACAAATTGCATATGTGTTGAATTTAAGGGGAGGGGGAGTATTCCTACTGCAATGTATACTAGTAACATATTAACACTTAATAATATACAAAATATATATGAGTAAAATATTAACAATTAACAAACATGAAAATTATTAATTTCATTGTAAATATTGTTATTTTAAAAATTCTGAGCTTAAATATTTAAATAACAAGAAATGTTTTTCAAGTATTATTTCTGCTTACAGGAAATATTAATAATAAAATTAAAAACATATATAAGCAGAATACTTATGGTTCTTGTTTTCAAATGTAGTTCCACTATCCAGTTATGTTTAACTAACTAACTAACTAACTTATCCTTGTTCTTATCCTTAGTTTTCCAGGATGTGACATTTCAAAAGAAACAGACAATGTTTTACTAAATCTTGGTAGGCTAACTTTTAGTTCACCTCTGTTGCATCCTTCTTTTGTTCTCAATGGTATGAATCTATACTAACTGCAAAACAACAAGAATGGCCCCAAGAGAAAATGCTTCTAGAAGATAATTGATCTCAGGGAAATGAAGGTTTGGGGGAGGGAGGTGAAAGGAGGAAAACAACAACAAAACTCACAAAGAGTAAAGAGTTCTGCTGAGACTTGACTAATTGCTGATAATATGCAGACTTCTCTGTTAGGTTTTAGAACCTGAACTTCCACAGCACATAACACTCAAACAAAAAGGGTTTCCTTTAAGTGTAAGGAAATAGTTAGGTTAGCAGGGTCTAACTATAAAAGTATAAAAGTAATGAACTATAGTGAAAATTTAATCACTAATGCAGTCTTTAAAATTCTGTGAATCATCTTAAATAGTGTTTTCCCAAATTTGATTTTACCATTTCTATTTCACAATACAATATACCAAATTAAAGCTCATCAAAAAATAATAATTTAAAAACATGTGCATGTCAATATCTCTATTCATTTTAATTATGTGCTGTACTTGACAACATGTGAAACCCTCTGTGTATGTTGTTGTACTTATGTTAACAACACAATAACAAGAATTAAACAAATATGATTGAAATGGATATGTGGAGTTTAATTCCCATATTTCCTACCAATGGCCATGCTCAGTAGAGAATCCTTGGAGCCGAATTTCATGTTACTGGACAGAACATATCCTGAATAAATTGATGAGTTTTTTTACTACACATTGTTTAGAAGAAGCAGTAGGATCACTACAATGCATTGGACATAATAAGAAATATTTAGACAAAGGATGATTTGAGAAAACTTAAAAAATTAGCAACAAGTTGCCTTACAGAGTTGCTAGGTAAATGGATTCAGGTGATTATGACAAAAATGCTAGTTTTATAATAAAAAAGTATGTTGACAAATTTTATAGATATATGTGTCACTCTAATGAAATTTCTTCTTATACTTCTTGATAATGCCTCCAATTATTGAGATGTGACCCTAGAGGGAAACATATTCCTTAAATAAATAAATAAATAGTTTAATTTAAAAATAATATCTCAAGGATTAGTAAATATTAAAAAAGGAATTATTTTTTAGTGTTTTACTTAGACTGGTCTAACGGCCATTAGCTTTATGCTAAAGAGTTATTACCATGAAATCAATATGTCCTAAAAGTTTGTTCACTTGCTTTTTCTTTACCACAGAATATTCAAATCATAGAAAAAATGGGAAAAAAAGTATGAGTCCATTAATACACAATTGTTCAGTATAGATACTATTGGAAACTATCCTGTTGATGACTATTCTGCACTGATGCTTCAGAACATCTAACTTGAAGAATCTGTTAATGTGGATACTTTTATTAGAATATAGATGTAAAGATTTAACAGAGTAAAATAATTGGAAGGGACCTCAGAGGTGTGATCTTGGAGTGTTCTAGTCCAATTCTCTGTTCAACCATTTCAGATAAATGGCTGACCAATCACTTCTTAAAAACATCCAATGATGAAGCAATCGCAACTTCCATTGATTATTTGTTCTCACTGTCAGGAAATTTCTTCTTATTTCTAGATTGGATCTCTTTTAATTAGTTTTCTTTCTTTGCTTGTTGTCAATTCCTTCAGGTGCTTTGGAGAATAGGTTGATCCCTTCTTTGTAGCAACTGCTCAAATATTGGAACAGTGCTGTCATGTCACTCCTAATTCTTCTTTTCATTAAACAAGACATATCCAATTCCTGCAACTGTTTATAGGCTTTAACCTCCAGTCATCTAGTCATCTTTATTGTTCTTCTCTGCACTCTTTCAACATCTTTTTATATTGTGGATGCAATATTCCAAGTATGGTCTTACCAAGACCACATTTGGAATATGTCTTACCAAGACATTATAAAGTGTGTCAACACTTCACATGAACTTGATTCTATTCCTCTGTTAATGCAGCTTTTGCTTTTTGGCAGCTGCAGCACATTGCTGGCTTATATTCAAGTGATTGTGGGCTAGGACTCCATGATCATTAACATAGTTATCACTATTGAGCTAATGGACTGGTTAATTGTCCTCACTGTCATGAAGTTTTTCCTTAATTCCAGGTTGTTTCTCTCTTTGATTAGTTTCCAACCATTGTTTCTCGTCCTGCCTTCTGGTGCTTTGGTGAATAAGATGACCCCTCTTCTTTGTGGCAATAGTAAGTTGTAGTCTACTTTATCAAATACCTTGCTGAAATCCAAGTAAATTAGATCCATAGCATTTTGCTGGTTCACTAATTTAGTCACTCTGTCAAAGAATACACTAAGATTTGTCTAGAATGATCTGTTTTTGACAAGTCATGTAGACTTCTGATTAAAACTTTGTTTTAGATCTTCACAGATGTTCAACTATCTTTTTCAGAATCTTCCCAGATACTATATGAGGCTGATAGGTCTGTAGTGAATCCATTTTTTCCCTCCTTTTTTGAAGATGGAAATCACATTAGCTCTTTTCCAGTCCTCCAGTATTTTCCTGGTGCTCCAGGACCTTTAAAAGATATTGTTCAGTAGTTTTAAGATCATATTTGCTAGTTGTTTCAGAATCCTGGTATGTAATTCATCTGTACCTGGTGATTCAAACTCATCTAGAATGTTTAGATGTGCTCTTACCATTTTCTTGCTTATTTTGACTTGCATTCCTAATCTATCTTTTACGGTACTACTTTTGATAGGTTGGGCCACTTTTTTTTCTTTTGCATAAAGAAAAAAAGTTGCAAAGAATGAGGTTCCTTTTTCTCCCTAATGCCCATTGCTTGCTTGCCATCTTCTCCCATTAGTGGACCAACTGTTTCCTTGGCTTTGTTTGTTTTTAACATGTTGAAATAAACTCTTTTTTATTAATTTTGACATTTGTTGAAAATCATTCTGAGCCTTAGATTTGCTGACCCCATTTTTGCAGATTCAGGCTGTATTCTGGTATTCTACTTTAGTTATGTGTCCCTCTTTCCATTTTTTTATACTTGTCCTCTTTGTCTTTCAGTTTATCAGTAAATTTTTTATGCAACCATAAAACCAATTCTTCAATTTCTTTCTTTCTTTCTTTCTTTCTTTCTTTCTTTCTTTCTTTCTTTCTTTCTTTCTTCCTTCCTTCCTTCCTTCCTTCCTTCCTTCCTTCCTTCCTTTCCTCTTTCTTTCTTTCTTTCTTGTTTATTGCAGTATTGTGGGGGATTGGATTCTTATAATTACATTTTTCAGAGTTTCCAAAGCTTTTTGAGTTGTTTCCCCCTTTAAGATTTCAGCTATGGAATCCTTTCCAAGCTCTAAGTATATTAAAATCACTTCTATTAAAGTCTAAGACACTAGTTTGATTTTATACTATTGATTATGTCTTTATTATACTAAATTCCAATATGACACAGGGATATATCTTTCCAAAAATTGAATAACATTTGTTTACATTTTAATTAAACAAACATAACTATTACAGTTTGAAATATTAAACTTGGGAGATAATGACTTCCATATTACTAATGTTAATTCCCAATGGTTTCATTAAATCAAAAGATACTAAATGCCTGTCTGAAAATAAATAGTTCATCTATTTATATTGAAGATAAAGAGTCTGTATTTGCTAGCAAAAACCATGCATTTCTGTATGTACTGTTCTGTTTACTAAAAACATAAGATAATAGTAAAATATTATTAAGAACCCATACTGAAACTGTAGTTATGTATGTACCTTATTTTTATTAATATATCTTAACTATCTATAATTATAATGAAATGTTATTCAATCTTGTTTCTGTCTGTATCTTTTTCCCATTCTCAGTCATTGTTCTTGGTTAATTGGTTAGATGACACAATCTGTTTTTTAAAAGATAATAGTTTATATAGTTTAAATCAGTAGACAAAGTCATTTCTGTACCTCATGAACTTTTCAAACTGAACATGAGAAATTGTATTTTTTTAGAAAATAGAATTTTCAAATTCATACACATTTCTTAATATTTGCAAAGTTGTACATAATATGATAATCCATTCTGTTTCTGTAACTTTTTTGTATTGTACATAATGCTTCACTTGATATCTGTTTGAAGGTTCATTAAGAAAAAAAAATCTTACTGAGCTTACTGACATGAAAATTATGAATACTGAATCTTTTCCAGCTAATGCAAGAATTACTCAGTATTCAATCTTACAACATCAATGAAAGAGACTTCTAAGAAATCCATTTACCATATGTGTAATGTTATGTGACTGTTCAATTTCATATGGAATTCTCAGATGCTTTAATATTCAAATGAAAATTCACCAACAAAAAAAATAATAATTACATTATGTTTATTTTATATTGTATTTGACTTGTTTTTTTTAAAAAAAGATACTTTACAAACTTTAAGAATCCAAAAAATAAAGAAACATTTTTGCTCTTTATTTCCTTTCTGTAAAAGTTATCTATAAAAGTGACAGCCAAAAAACTCTATAGAAATGTACATTAAGTGCCTGTTTAGGATTGTATTAATGTGCGAAGAGCTCCAATTTCAATGTCGACAGGGCAGGCAAATAGTTTCCTATATTTCTGTCTCTCCAGTGAAAGGAGAAATTATATTTTTATTACCTGTATTTCTGTACCTATTTGATAATGAAGAATGTTATACTAATTTTGAAACAGATATGAGTAGGAAAGAATCTTAACTCAGAATCATCATGAAAATACGATGAAGCCCATTCTAGTAATTTAAATTGCTAAAGGCAAGAAGATATAGCAAATGCTGGTGATCCAATTCATTGTAAATAAAAATAATTTATCCATAGAACTGAATCTAATAATAATTGAAAGGATATTTACTTTGTTATATATCAATATTTATTGAGAGGTATTTTGGTGATATGGTTAAATCTAGTGTGATGGAAATTGGTAAACCATTATTTCTAGTCCTATAGTTACCAGGAGTTAATAGTGACTCAAAGACAAATAAACACAGACACACACACAAATTCTTGGGTACACAAACACACACACATAATTAATTATTCCAAAAAAAACCTTCTTAGCACAGAATGTTTCTAATGATTATCTTTATCTCTCTGTTTCTCAAACTATAAATAAAAGGATTGACCATGGGGGTTAGAATGGAATATAGAAAAGAGAAGCTCTTATTCATATCTCTGAATTTGCCAGTTGTTGGCATAATGTAGACAAGCATTAAGGAGCCATAGAAAATGGAGACTACAGTGAGATGGGAAGAACAGGTGGAAAATGCCTTTTCTCTCCCATTCACAGATTGGATTTTCATAATTGCCTGCATGATAAAAGCGTAAGATGAGATAGTTATGAAAAATGTAGGTATAATTCCTAAAAATGATGTTATCAAAGCAACTCTTTCAATCACCCAAGTGTCACTGCAAGAAAGACGTATTAAGGGTGTGAAATCACAAAAGAAATGGTCAATTTCATATTGATTACAGAATGTGAGTTGTGTCAACAAGGATGTCAAAACACTGATAAGCAGAAATCCTATTATCCCTGATGTTAAAACCAGCAAAATACATGTTTTGCCATTCATAAGCGTGACATAATGCAAGGGTCTACATATGGCTAGATAACGATCATAAGACATTGCTGCCAAAAGGTAACATTCAGTAGCTCCCAAAGTGGAAAAGAAATGCATCTGTAAAATACAGCCCCAAAGAGAAATTGTTTTCTTTCCGGAGAGAAAAATGGCCAGCATTTTAGGTATTGTTGTTGAGGTGTAGCAGATTTCCAAACAGGCTAGATTCGAAAGGAAGAAGTACATAGGAGTATGAAGATGCTTCTCCATCATAACCAATATAATTATGAGAAGGTTTCCAGACAGTGTTACAATATAAAAGATTAAAAATAATAAGAAGAAAAGAGTGTCCAAGTTCTCAGTATTCCCAAATCCAAGAAGGATGAACTCTTTTATTCTTGTTGTGTTCTGCCATTCTGAACGCTTTTCAAACTTCATCTGTTAGTAAAATGTCAAATGTTGCAGATTTTGTAATTTATGGTCCATGTAGGTTCCTATATAACCTACTGTAATGCATGAAAAGAAACATATATTTACAGATATATTCATTTTTCATGAGATGCAGCAAAATTTGCATTAATTCTAGAAAAACATAGAGCTTCCTCCACATTAAGTCACATTCACTTGAAGCCCACAGAAATTATGAAGAACTGATAGCTAGGACTATGTTGATTTTTTATTGTAAATATTTCCTGCAAATAGAATTAATATACTCAATTATTTACAAATTGCACATGTGTCATGCAGTTAAAAACATAATTGAAAATTATGCATTTCATTGAAAATATTACATTTTAAAACTTTCTGAGCTTAAATCTTGAAATAAAAAAATATCTTTCTGTCAATCGAAAAGGTAAAAATGTAATAATAGTAAAATAAAAAAGATACATAAGGAGAATACCTATGATTCTTGATTTAAAAGGTAAAGTTCTAGTGTTCCAGTTATCATAAGAAATAATTTTCCCAAGAATGTGGCATTTAAAAGAAACAGGCATTGTTTTATTGGCTATTGGTAGTAAATATCATCATTCAACTCAGTTGTAGCCTTCTTTTGTTCTCAATGGTATGAACCTACACTAAGGATAAAATAATCAGAATAGTCCCAAGAGAAAAAAAATGTTTCCAGAAGATAATTTGCCTAGTGGAAATGAAAATATAGAGGAGGTAAGAGAAAGGAGCAAGAAGGGAATAAAGTGGCCTTTTTTTCCCTTCTCACTCATCTCTATCTATTTTTTTCTTAATATTTCCAGCAAAACCTGGAAATCTTAAGAAAGTTTTTTAAAAAGTAATATTTTCAATGAAACATGTAATTTTCAATTATGTTTTTTAACTGCATGAACCATGTGCAATTTATAACTAATCTAGTCTATTAATTATATTTGAAAGAAATATTTACAATAAACGAAAGTGTAATATGAAAAACCATAAAAGATATTTTTTTCAACCTGGCATCAGAGGAAAGTCTGTAAAATGTTGTCAGAACTTTGCAGGTAAATGTCTGCAATGTTGATCAAATAAACCAATTGTATATTCCTCCCTTTTAATTTTAACAGTTTTAATAGTTAGCTCATTCAAATATTGTAGGATTTTATTTCTCTTCAGTTCTTTTTTATTCCATTTCACAGGCTTGATCATAACCAGGGCTGAAGCTAGTGGACATAGAGCCAGAGCTAGAGATGGAACTGGCTGCTATTGTGCAGAGCCTTATGGGTTCCACGTTGAGAATAAGGGTGGTAATGGCAGTAGTTGTGGCAGAGAGCCAACAGTGGAAACTAGGGCAGAGATGGAAAGATCCAAAGCTGGTCCATAACATCAGCAATAGCAAAGGTGCAGCTGCAGGGCTGGTGGACAGAGGAGAGTCAGAACTGATGGTTGGACACCAGACCTGGAGGCTAAATGGGGTAGCAACTGGAGGAACTCAAGGCTGCACTTGGAACCCAGTAGTTCTTGGAAGAGGCCTGGGAACAATCTCAAGAAGGTGATTCTGGAAATCCAGTGGAGAACTAGGTAGTGAGCATCAGTGCTGGAGGAAGACAATGCCCCAAGGTGAATGGAAAGTCTGCTTCTAGGATGGAAGCCTGGGTGAATCTGTACATTTGGAGGTGAATGGTTGCATGCAATTGAGAGGGAGTAACAGTTGGAGGGGTTAGTGAGTATATTCTGCCCCCTGTTGGCCAGTGAGAAATCAATGAAGAGCCCTGGTAGAATGCAGTATTGCAAACTAAATCTTACAGTCTGGAGTTCAATCCTGACAGAGCTCAAGTTTGACACAGCCTTCTATCCTTCCAAGGTTGATAAAATGAGGACACAGATTGTTGAGAGCAATATGCTGATATTGTAAACCACTCAGAGACTGCTGTAAAGCACTATGGAGAAGTATATATGTCTATTGGTATTGCTATTGCTATAAGCTTAGGGAAGGATAGTTGTATCTGGGGAACTAGGAGAGGGGATCTTTTTACTTAAGTCTACCAATTCAGCATTGAAATATTAGACTTTTTCTTTTTAATCCAGCTTCAAAGTATTCATTTGTTTTATTGGGGAACTTGGGTGACATCCATGAATTTCTAAAACAAAGTGATAAATTATTATATTAATGATTTTTTTAGAAAGCAAAATCTGTAGCTGAAATAAATAAAGGCATTGCTTTTAAACAAACATTTTGCTTTTTAAGCCATTTTTGCTTTTTGTTTTTATGATACCCTAAGACATAGATCCTCAAAACAGACTTGCAGCATAACTGAGAAGGTAGAACATGCTATTTGTTAATTCTTTATAATGCTATGATTTACAAACCCAGGATATCAATTTATAAAACTTCATTGTTAAAGAATGACATCCTGTAATGCTGATTAAAAAAAAACTTTAAAATATTATTTCAAAATAGCAGAATATATGTGATATCTGTGCTGGTCAGAGTAAATAGTTATTTTAGGAATTAAGAACTGTCCCCTTAAGGGATAACCTTTTGGGTAATATAGTTTTAAGTTACCTGATCATATCTGTGTTTCAGACTGGCCACTGGGAGGGACTTCTGATTGGTTACCAAGATTTCTGGCTACGTGCAGGCCAGTGGGGTCTTTATGAATTCCAGCCACAAGAACTGTTTGCTTCTTTAACATGGAAAAAAACTACCTCTTTTCACCTATGTGTTGGCTCCAGATTATGCAATGTGGTTCAGAAGAATCTCTCCAGTAACTGTGAGTTAATGTTTAGAGAATGCCTGATAAATTAAAGTAATCTGCATGAAACCCTTTCGTTGGAGTTTATCTGCCTGTATCAAGCAACAACAGTGCCCTTGCTTGAAACAGAACAATATCCATAGGAGAGGTTTATTTATTTATTGTATATGACTTCCCATTTCACTGAACATGACTCCGAGTAGCAGAGTTAAAATAATGTTGGAGCTGTTAAAAAATAAAAAATATAAATAAAAGCAAGTTTGTAGGAAAAGAGCATCAATCAAAATATATTATGTCTTTTGTGCAGGTTCCCTACAGATCTCTAAGGATCCCTAAACTTCCAGAAAAGTTACAATTTCAAGCCATTCTGAAAGATTAAGAGTGATGAGACTTATCTCACTTTAGAGGTGGGATGCTTGTGTGAGGAGCTGATGATGTTCCAGAAGACAGAACTTACAGCAGTAAAGACATATCTATGACCTATCAGATGAAACTGTTTTTGTATACAAGACCTGCAATATAATCCTCCTGCAGGACTTGATGTGGTCACAAAGAGGCAGTCTTCAAATAGGAAAACTTGCATAACACAAAGTAAATATCCTTTAACATGTCCAATGGAAGGACATATTTATATTGCATGTAATAATATTAAAGAGACTCAGAAAATTTCCCACACTTGAGGAATAGTTTCCTGAGGATTTCTTTTATGTTTTTGTTTCTCAGACAATAAATGAAGAGATTGACCATGGGGGTAAGAGCGGAATAAAAGAAAAAGAAGCCCTTTTTCATAACTTTGAATTTTCCAGTGGCTGGTAAAATGTATACAAATATTAAGGATCCATAGTTAAAGGAAACCACCATTAGATGGGAAGAACAGATGGAAAATGCCTTTTGTCTCTCATCCACACATGGAATCTTCAGAATTACACTGATGATAAAAGTGTAAGATGATACAGTTATGAAAAATCTAGGTAAAATTGCTATAGATGATGTTATCAAACAAGCACTTTCAATCACCTAAGTGTCATCACAGGAAAGTTGTACTAATGGTCTGAAATCACAGAAGAAATGGTCAATTTCATAAAGCTTGCAGAATGTGAGTTGTGCCAACAAGGATGTCAAAATTGTAATAAGAAGAAATGCTATAAGCCATGACATCAAAACTAACAAGATACATGTTTTGTCATTCATAAGTGTAACATAATGCAAGGGTCTGTATGAAGTTTGAAAATAAGTGAAGTAATGAATAAAGATAAATATTTTATTATCTTTCCTTCAATAAAATTGGTATTTATGAACACAAACATTAGAAAAGGAACAAAGCTAATTATAAATGAAGTAAAAACAACACAATTTATTTTTATTTAATAATATTAATTAGAGGATCCTGTGGAATATTTTACTCCATAAAAACATGATACAGCAGCAAAACCAAATATATTTGTAAATAAAGGCATTTTAAACCACACAAAAATATATAAGGAACAAGTTCCCTCATGCGCAAGTAGCCATGTGGATAGTGTCAGTGCCAATCTTGATTTTGGATAAAGAGCATATCAAATAATTGAGTAATAAAAAATATTTAAATGGCCATAGCACATTTTATATATATTTGTATATACATACTTATATTACAGACATGGATGGTTGCTCCACATGCCCAGAAGATAAATATCCAAGTAAGGACCAAGATTCATGTCTTCCCAAGAAAATATCTTTTCTGTCTTATGAAGAACCAATGGGAGTAGGTCTAGTCATTCTGGCACTTGTCTTTGTTCTCTGCACAATTGTGGTACTGGAAACATTTTTGAAGTATCATCATACTCCCATTGTCAAGGCCAATAACTAAAACCTCACCTACATTCTACTCATCTCCCTCCTTCTCTGTTTTCTTTGCCCACTGCAGTTCCTCATTGTACCTGGCAGTATAATATATCTCTTCAGACAAATTAGCTCTGCAATAATCTTCTCAGTGTCTGTGTCTTCTGTGCTAGCAAAAACCATCACTGTGGTTTTGGCTTTCATGGCCACCAAGCCAGGATCCAGGATGAGGAAATGGGTTATTCTTTTTTGTTCCCTGATTCAAACAGGCATCTGCACAATAAGGCTGTTCACATTTCCCCCTTTTCCTGAAATGGACACCCATTCAGAAATTGAAGAAATGATACTTCAGTGCAATGAAGGCTCAGCTACCATGTTCTACTGTGTCCTGGGGTACATGGGCTTTCTAGTGGTTGCCAGTTTCACGGTAGCATTTTTCTCTAGGAATCTTCCCAGCAGTTTCAATGAGGCCAAATGTCTCACATTCAGCATGGTGAACTTCTGCAGTGTGTGGCTCTCCTTTGTTCCATCCTACCTTAGCACCAAAAGGAAATACATGGTAGCTTTGGAAGTTTTCTCCATTTTGGCTTCCAGTACTGGATTGCTGGGCTGCATATATTTCCCCAAATGTTTCATAATTATTTTTAAGTCAGAGCTAAACAACAGGGAGCAACTAATTAAGAGAAACTCTTAATATATGAAACTCCTCTTTCATTTTGGAATATTAAATATTAATATTAAATTTAATACTAAATATTAAACATTAAATGCAATAGGTTTATCAACTGATCTCTGTTGTTCCTTATAGGTAGAGTATGAAGCAAGTTGTAGAATAGTATTTTCACATGTTATAATTTTATTTGAATAAATGTCAGTATCATTTCTGGAAATCAAAATTGATTGCAAAAAGCTTTGTAAAATTAACTTCTTAATGCAAACAGGTAGGG